GAACAGACAAGAAAAGGCTTTTACAGTGGAGGGGGAATGGGAAGGTAAGAGGGAGTGAGTGAATCTTATTCTCATCAAATATGGCTTAAGGAGAGAATAACATACACACTCAATTGGGTATGGAAATCTATCTTACCCTACAGGAAAATAGGGAAGGAAGGGGACAAGAGTAGGAGGATGATAGAGGGGAGGGCAGATTGGGGGAGGGGGTAATCAGAAGCAAACACTTCTAAGGAGGGACAGGGTCAAAAGAGAGAATAGAATAAAAGGGGGGCAGGATAGGATTAAGGGAAATATACTTAGTTTTTCACAACATGACTACTATGAAAGTGTTTTGCATGACTACACATGTGTAACCTGTATCGAGTTGCTTGCCTTCTCAATGGGGGGGGTGGGGAGAGAGGGAGGGAGAAAATTTGGAACCCAAAGTTTTAAAAACAAAAGTTAAAAAAAATTATTTTCACATGCAACTGGGAAATAAGATATATAGGAAATGGGGTATAGAAATCTATCCTGCCCTACAGGAAAATAGAAGGGGAAGGGGATAAGAGAAGGGGGAGAGAGATAGAAGGGAGGGTAGATTAGGAGAAAGGGTATTAAGAATGCATGCCATCTTGGGGTGGGGAGAGGGACGAGATGGGAAGAAAATTTGGAACTCAATCTTGTGGAAGTGAATTTTGAAAACTAAAAATAAATAAATTCTTTAAAAATGGGGGAAAAAAAGTTTATTCGTAACTTAGGATAGACCAGTTTCAGTTGAATGTTGGGGTTGGAAGCCAGACTGCAGAGAGATAAGAGAGTAAGAGAAAAGGAATTGAAGGAATCAATTATAGGCCAATTGTAGTGCAATAAATAGTTGTTAATTTGTCTTATCATCTCTTTTTTTCCATAGGTTTCGTTAGAGGAAATATGATTATTGCTAAATCAAGCTTATACAATGTTTATACCTTAAAGTAAATTCTAACTTTTAAAGTGAAATCCTTGGTTTCATTTCACTTGTTATTTCAAAAGAGAATCATCTCATTTTGTGTATAATCAATTAGCTGCATAAAGGACTAACAACAAAACTTGGCAAAAAACACAGAGATGTCAGTTATATCTAGGGGTATGCTAGAGCCGGAATGTAAGACTGGCAGCTTGTTCAATTTTCAGTGTAAGCATTTACACCTTCAAAATTATCAAATGCTACAAATCAGGGCTTGATTTATTGTTTTGTTGATTGTTTAGACTCAAGAAAGTGATGGAGAAAATGTTAATATTGCAAATTAAACTTAAAAGTATGTCATAAATACATTTTTTTTTCCAGAGAGCTAGTTGTTAAACATTTGCCAGCATACCCTGGTTATAGCAATGACTGCTTAATAAGCCTTATTATAGCATCCTGTGAAGTTGTGGGAGGAAAGATACTAGTTTTAAAAGTCTTCAACTTATTACATGTTACAAATTTTCATTGTGTTTGGCATTTAATTGTCCTAGAATTTAATGTTCCAGGCCTCACAGCCCTCTTACTGCTCTCCTTCAGAAGAAACAAGTAGAAAAAACTCTGGAGACAAAGAGTCCAATCCAGGCTCTGAATTTTAAAAAAGAGAGAGAGAGAGAGAGAGAGGAGGGTGGATGTCTCTTCAGAAAACAATAGATGTTATTTCACATGCCAGTGTTAACAGATTTTTGCGAACTTGTGACTCAGCCTGCATTTTCTATATCTTAACTCATGCAAAGAAATGCCTGGATGAGAATCTTCTTAAAACCTGCTTCTGTTTGATAAACAGAAAAGATGTGACAATTATGAAGACTGTGAACTTAGATTCAAAACTCACAGCTGAATGTATAGAGAAGTGATGGAAGCTCAATATTATATACAGAAAACGTTGTACCAGAGGCTTCTTCAACAACTGCAGAAAGGTTTGAACATGTTTTTCTTCTTTTGGTCTCACTTGGCAAATTATTAAATTCTACAAATTTGTCATGAAATTATACCTTATCTTTTTATTTTGTATTTTCTTTTCTTTATGAACTTAGTCATCAATGAAAACATTTCAGTTACCAGCAAGAACAAGAAAGAGAACTGTATGAGAAATTGTGAACTTCTGGTAATGCAGTTTCCTAAAGGAAACATCCATATGTGTGCATTTATATCTATATGTGTATGTACATATATATATATATTTAACAAGATAGTAATAAAAGTGCTCCCTTTCCACATCTCTGCATTTTTTGGTATATTTTATTTTATTTAGATTTTTCGGTTTTTGTTATTTTGAATTAGAAAAATGCTAATAAATATTAGCATCTCCATATACCAAGGAGAACAGAAAATGAATGTTGTATATGAAACTGAGAAGCTCATTACATACAGCTTGTTTTTTTTTAAATATGATTAAATTCATAACCTTAGTTTGAAAAACCATCCTTTTTGAACTTCATTCTTTTCTCTTCTATATATTTGTAAAACTTCATTTATACTGCTTTGCTATTTTCTTTCTTTTTCCTTCTCTTTTTCTTCCTTCCTTTCTTCCTTCTCTCTCTCTCAATAGGGAATAGCCAGTAAAAAAAGTGGACAGAAAATAGATGCAATATCATGTTCAAGGAATATTAAGAAGGCCAGTATTGTTGAATTGTAGAATCTGTAGAAGGGAATAAAATTTAATACTGGAAAGGTAGGAATGGGCAAGGTTATGAAAGGTTTTAAGTTCTAGACAGAAGAGTTTACATTTTATCCTGGAAAAAATAGGGAATCTCTAGAGTTTGAGTATAGGGGAGATATGGTCAGACCTTTGCTTTAGCAAAGCAGAGCACTTTGACAACTGAGTGGAGGATAGACTGGAGTGGGGAGAGACTTGAAGCAGGGAGACCATTTAGAAGGCTGTTGCAATAGTCTAGGTGAGAGGCAATGAAGAACCAAACTAGGGTGGTGGTTGTGTGAGTAGAAAGGTGGGGACATATACAAGAAATGTTGTAAAGGTAGTAATGGCAAGATTTGGCAATGGATTGAGTATGTGGAATGAATGAGAGTAAGCAGTCAAGGATGATACCAATGTTACAAATGCAGGTGACTGTAAGGATGATAGGGCCCTCAGCAATAATAGAGAAGTTCAAAAGAAAGGAGGTATTTTTTGGGGGGGGTAGAGGAGGGCAGGTTTGGATCAAGATTATGAGTCATGTTTTAGACATGTTGAGTTTGAGATGCTTGCAAGACATCCAGTTCAACATGTCCCTAAAGGCAATTGGTGATAGATACTAGAGAGCAGGAAAGGGACTAGGGTATCTATCTATTTGTCTGTCTGTCTATCTGTTTATCTGTCTGATCTAGATAGATGTGTCTAGATCAGATGGATATAGATTTATCTAGATATATATATTGGCATGGAGGAATTATTTACATAGGGATGATAAAATGAAATAGTATAGCAGGAAAAGAGAAGAGGGCTCAGGACAGAGCCTTGAGGGATACTCATGATGAGTAGACATGACATGCACGAAGAATTAACAGAGGAGATTGTGGCAGTACCGTCAGAAAGGTTGAAGGAAAACCAGGAGAGAGCAGTGGATGAAAACCTAGAGAGGAGGGACTATGCAGGAGAAGTGATTTATAATGTCAGTTACTACAGACAAGTCTAAAAGGATGAGAAATGAGAACAGATCATTAGATTTGATCATTAAAAGTTAGAAAATTGGTAATTTTGGAAAGAACAGTTTTCAGTTGAATAATGTGGTTGAAAGCCAGACTGCAGGAAGTTATGTTGTTGTTGTTGAGTTATCTTACTCTTTGTGACCCTATTAGGGGTTTTCTTGGCAAAGATACTGGGGTGGTTTACCATTTCCTTCATCAGTCATTTTACAGATGAGAAAACTGAGGCAAACAGGGTTAAGTGACTTGTTCAGGTTCATACAGTTAAGTAAATATCTGAGGCCAGATTTCAACCCAGGAAGATGAATCAAAATTTCAATGCAGGAGAAAAACCCACAAATTTATGATAATTTTAAAAATTTAAAACAGGTCATTTTAAAAAAATTACATTTTTTGAAATGATGCAAATTTCAGAAAAACCATTAAAGAGTTAAAGAAATGAGATTTCCAAGGGGCTACTGAGTAATTTCTTTTTTTTGAAAGAGGAGTGGGAGGCCAAATAATTTTGGGAACCTCTGGGATAGACAGCTTTCTCAAGGAATTTAGCTGTGAAGAGAGAAAAAAAAAGATAGGGTGCTATATAGGTGATAGCTAGCCAGGATGATAGAATCAAATAAGGGTTTTTAAGGATGGAAGAGCTATGGGCTTGTTTGTAGGGAACCAGTAGATAGGGAAAATGTAAGGATGTTAATGAGTGCAATTTGCTGGAAAAGATGGGAATTTTGCCTGGAATCTCACGAGTCTATGGTGTGTGAAAATGTTCTTTCTTCAACTTTTTGAAAATGAGGGCAACTTGTACCTGTCTCCAGTCTTCCAGAACCTCTACAATTTCCCATGATTCTTCATAGAACAGCCATGCAGCAATCAAATACGTGTTACTTCAGTATCCTGCGATATGTTTTATCCAGGCCAAAGTACCCAAATAATGTAGAAACACAAGGTATTTTCTTACTATCTTCCAACCTGTTTTTGGTCCTACTCACTTCTTAAGTATGTTTTTTTTTAGTCTGAAAATAATTTTCCTCAATAATATACAACAAAATCTCAACAGCTGAATGGTTCTGCTTTTTCAAGGTCATTACTGATATTACAGCATAAGCTCAAAGGCTCTTGTCTTGAAGATAGCTGCACTCATATAATTTAGAGTTGGAAGGGTCCTTGGAGGTCATAGATTCAAAGATAGAAAAGATCTTTGAAGACATCTTGTCTAACCTCTTCATTTTACATTTAGGTCTCAGTTAAGTGACTTGCTCAAAGGCACACAGGAAGTAAATGGCAGAGCCAAGATACAAGTCCAGGTTCTCTGACTCCAAATCCATCACGTCACACTGAACCATGCTGTATCATCTTATCCACTCTTTTCATTTTACAGGTGAATAAACTGAAGCCAAGAGAACTGAAATAACTTCCCTAAGATCACACAGTTACTAAACGTCATGGAAAAAATTATTCTTGGAATTTTTTCCCACGCTTCAAATCATTCTCAGCATTTGCCTGATACTGTTTTTTTTTTAGTACATGACACTTTTTTTCATGTTATTATTGTACCTGCTTCTATCTTTTTTTATTTTAAATTTGAACTCATGGGAAAGCTCCCTGTGAACTTGCATTAGCAGAATCAAAATCTGATGAGTTCAAGGACGAGGATGGAGAAAAGGCTATTAGATTTGGTAATTAAGGAGACCAGTAATTTGGAAAAAACCAAAGATTAACTCTTTGTCTTTATATGTTTTATGTGCCCTTCTTTTATTTGAATCGTTGGAAACTATTAGAATTTTGTTTTAGACAGCTTCCTATCCTTCTCATTGGAGTATGGTAAGTATGTTTATATTCTCTATTGGTTAACATTTTTTATCATTTGAAAAAACCTGTTAAAACTTCTTAAGTGTCTTAGTACCTATTTTGAAGAAAATTGTAGTAATGAATCATGGAAATAATTTCTGTTAAGTTCAATATATTTAACTGATGGTAACTTTTTTGGTTGTCAATTATGAAAATAGTTTATTACTACTTATATACCACTCAAAGATGTTTATCTTAGCTACAAAGTTTAATTAGAGCCAGTTAAATGATTAAAAGCCATAACAATAAAAACTGTTAATTTGGGTTTACTGATTACCATAAATATGACTTTTTCAGGGTGCTAACTATAAAGTTCCACTTTCTTCAAAAAAAAGGAGATTAATAAGAAGCATTTATTAAGCACCTACTAAGTGCTGACACTGCGCTAGACCCTTCAGATATGAATTCAAAGAATGAAACAATCTCTGTTCTAAAGGAGTTTATATTGTGTTGGAGATGTACGTAATAGAAAGTAGAGAATGAGATTAGGTTCTAGTCACATGAAACCCAGTTGTATGGTTCTTTTTGTTGTTTTATTTTTCATCAGTGAAACTTTTGAAAAATGGATCCATAGCAAAGGACATAGTAAGTGTCATAGATGAATGGGATAATATGGTCCCCCCCAAAAACTTGGTTGAAGTATTTGAAGAAACTACTGATTTGACCAAGAAAGACTATAGGCAATTATTGTTTATGATAGAGCTTGTGACAGTAGGACTGCTGCCTTTGTCAACTAACCAAAAGAATGTTAAATCAAATTGGTTTTTAGTGCTGATGAAATTGTTCATGTAAGACATCTTTTCTCAGGCATACATTTGCTATGGATGAATGCAGGTGAATATAGTTGAAGTGTCTCTTGGTCTTCTGGTAGTGAGGCAGAGAAGTTTGAGATCTGGATTCGGAAACAAAGATAGGTTCAAAGATCTTGCACAAGTAAAGCAACCTGTGACATGGGATTAATAGCATTTAGCTCACAGGGTGGTTGTGAGGATCAAATATGATAATATAAGAAAAGCAATTTTAAAACCTTGAAGGGCTTTGTAAATAGAAGATACGATTATTTTGGTACTTTAGCCATGACTTTGTCAGTTTGGGTATGGCCTCCACCAGTGCAGGTAGGACTTAGTAGATATTGAGAGAACTGTGGCCAAAAAAAAATTAAAAAATCATCCTGAGACCAGCCTGGAGATAAGTGTTTTTGAATTTACCTAAGTTGTTCATCGGATAACAGGTATGCAGTCCATTATTAGTCTATATTTGAAGCCTTTCCAGCCTAGTAAGACCAGTCAGAGCATGTGTTCCACTGTCACAGCCACCATGAGGCATCAGAGAAGGACTTCAGTGGAGGGAAAGTATTGATTACTTTTAATTTACAAATATATTTAATTTTCATTTTCCATGATACTTTTTGATAAGCAGTGTGATGAGTAATGGGTAGAGATCCAGACTTGGAGTAAAAAGGCCTTCAGGTCTTGCCTTTGACACATATTGGCTTTGGGACCATGAGGAAGACTCTTGACCTGTTAGTGTCCCAGGTAATTTTCTAAGACATATAACAAAATAAATAACTACCTGATCTGGATCACTGAAGGGAGTTTCTCTGTGCCAATAAAATCATAGTTCCTAACCAAACACTATGATGCATACAAAACCTGTGACAAATTTGGACAGCATACTAAAAAGCAGAGACATCACCTTGCCAACAAAGGTCCATATAGTCAAAGCTACGGTTTTTCCAGGAGTAATGTATGGCTGTGAGAGTTGGACTATAAGAAGAGCTAAGTGCTACAGAACTGATACTTTCAAATTGTGGTGTTGGAGAATACTTCTGAGAGTCCCTTGAACAACAAGGAGATCAAATCAGTCAATGCTTAAAAGAAATTAATTCAGCCTATTCATTGGTAAATCAAAAGGTGAAACTGAAGCTTAAATGTTTTGACTACATAATGAGAAGACAGTACTCACTGGAAAAGACCCTGATGTTGGGAGAGATTGAAGACAAAAGGAAAAGGGGATGGCAGAGGATGAGCTGGATAGATAGGGATATGGGAACCACAAGCTTAAGCTTGGACGGACTTGGACAGACAGATAGTAGAAGATAGAAGGTGTGCTATGGTTCATGGAGTCAGGAAGAATTGGACAAAACTAAACAAATAAGCAAGAGGCTTGGAAAAACTGATTGGGAGATGGCAGTTGGGGTAGGAGAGAGTTGCATGTGTGATCCCTGACAGTCTAGAGGAGAGCCAACTATGGGGGGAAACCCAGCTCTTCAGAAGTTATTGATTTTTTGCCTTTTATTTGTAGCTCTACCAGAGAGAAACAGAACTGGAGGAGAGCCAATTTCTCTCCCTTTCCCAGGCATAGTATACTACAGTAGAGCTACTTTTCTTCTTGAAGGTACCACACAACAGTGAGAAGACCCAGGGCATTCAGGAGACGTTCAGGGGAGGCAGCTCCAAGAAAAGTAGCAGGGAAAAGAGCCAACCTAATTATAAATTGGAAAGAATTAACTCTGGTAGTCAGGAATGAAGTTGTAGCAAAGAGCAGGCCCAGGCTGACCATCTAAGCATCCTGCCCAGCAGAGATATTGGGGAGGGGGGGAGAAGAACTGTGACGGCATAAGGAGACCTTGGCCATGTGATCCTTATGGATCAGGATACTCTATATGTCTGTTCTTCTCTCTGATGCTGTGTTGAAGTTGTAAAAAAATATTTCTCATGTTTATGTGGGCTAGATGTTTTATTACTGTCGTTAAGATTCTATCTCTGTAAATGCCTTTAGTTTGAGCTAATTATGCCTACTAATTCAGCACACTAGTGCGGTCTTAAGAGCAATAGTTTTAGCCCCAAATCCTTCCTTCTTCTTAACTTCTGTATTACTGCTAGAAGGTCCCCAACACCCTCCCAGTCACCCAGGCTCACTACCTAGGTCTCATCCTTGACTCCCCACTCCCCATATCCAATTAATTGCTAAATCCTGTCATTTCTATCTAGGTAACATCCCTTCTCCTCAAACGCTGCCACCACCCTCATTGCCTCATTCCTGGACTATTGCGTTAGCCTTCAGGCTGATCTCCTTGGTCTCTTCCCATTCTAGTCAGCTATCAAATTGATTTTCCTGAAGTGAACGTTTGACTATGTCACATATACCCCCCCCCAAGTCAATAAACTCTGGTGACTCCCTCTTACTTCCAGGATTAATAATGATGATAATCATATTAATAGCTAACATTTAAATTGAGCTTACTTACTATGTGCCTGGCACAGTGCTAAGTGCTTTTTACAAAAATATCACTTGATCCTCACAACAACCTTGAAACATAGGTGCTATCATTTATCCCCATTTTATAGATTAGGTACTCAGGCAAACAGAGATTAAGTGACTTATCCAAGATCACACAGCTAATTTGTGTCTGAGGCTAGATTTTCTATCCATTGCTCTATCTTATGAAAAGCTTTAAAAGCCTTTCATAACTTGTCTGCTCCTACTTTTCTAATCTTCTTACACCTTTCTCAGTCCCCCCCCCCTGCTGTTTCTCAGATGTGACTCTCTACCTTTTAACTGTATGCATTTTCTGTGGTTGTTTCATACCCGAAACTCCATCCATCCTCAACCTGGCCACCTGGCTTCCCTGACTTCCTTCATGTCTCAGCTAACGTCCCACCTTCTGCAAGAGGCCTTTGCCAATCTTCCTTCATCTTGGTGCCTTTCTTCTGAGATTACCTCTAATTTGTACATAGTTATTTTCATATTGATTCCCCCACTAGACTGTGATCTCTTTGAGAGCAGGAACTGGTGTTTTGCCTTTCTTTGTATCCAAAGTGATTAGCGAAGTGCCCTAGTACATAGTAGGTGCCTAGTAAATGCTTAATGACCTGCCTTGAATATATATCACAACAATCAAAGAAGTGTAGCCTGGGGTGGTGAAAACACCTTGTTAGATTTTCAAATGAATCAGAAAGGTGTTTCTGAAATCTCAGTTGTCACTTTTAATTAAACTACCTTTTGTGATTAGCTGAAATACATGTAGGAAACACAGTCCATATTTTCCTTTAAAAAAATTTCAAGATGCTGTGACACTACTTATAAGCTGTCTGTTGGTGATTGCATAAATACTTTTCTGTAATTATGTTTTCACACTGCTGTTTGAAGATGTCTGAAAATCAAATTATGGATTATTTTAGGTGATTCAACAGCACATATGATGAAGGATTTAAAATGTTATTTTGAGAGGAAGGTAAATTCACTTGTTTTAAGTTTTCAAAATAACTTGGCTATTGCTAACCTTATATTTATGGGGTTTTTAAAAATTCTCTTGTTATCTTGTATTGGCTCATTTGAAGTGCATGTGAAGTACATTTTGGGTGAAAAAGTTGCAGGTGAAGAAATTGCTTGATGTGAGGCTAAAAAGGCAGTGCTTTTGAGCTTGTTTTTTCAAACCCAAAAGGGGACTTTATCATTCTGAAGTGGTGTGTAGCCACATCCGATGCTGTGATCAATCAGTCTTAACAAGCATTTATTAAGCACCTACTTTGTGCTGAATACTTTGCTAGGCCCTGGGGTTGAAAGGATGAAAGATGAAAGGTCTCAAGGCTAGGTTCCTTTGTATGTCGTCCCTTAAGAAAGACTTATATTATGGCAAGATGCTGTACTTACAGAAAAGGAGTTTTCTGTTGTAAGGGACTGCTATTTGATGTTGCCCAAAGCCTGCAGAACAAATTAACTGAGGGAATGATAGAGTAGAAAGCAGAAAGAAAGTTGGCTCTGGAAAGAGAAGATCTGTGTTCAAATTTCACCTCTAATTCTTTCCTGTGTGATGATGGGTATGTCACTTATCATCCCTGGACTTCATTTTCTTCATTTTTAAAATGAAGTGGTTGGACTAAATAGTTTCTCAAGTCTCTCCTTGCTTTAGACCCATGATCCTCTGTTTCCTGATTCCCAGTGCTTGGCATGTAGCAGAATTGAATTGA